ATATTGTGATTGGTCAAGGAATACAACTATCAGGTCTCTTGACATTATTGCCTAAAACAAATCCTGTTCACCTCAGAGATGTGGGAGTAAAGAGAAGTCTTGTTTCTAGATGTGATTTTAGCCATTACAGCACAGTATAGCACAGGGTGGACGGGCTGGTGGCAGGTGCAGAGCCTTCCTTGAGGACTGGGTTCTATGTCTGTGCATGTTTCCTGTGTCAGCATGCAACGTGCAGTAGCTATACCTCCTCATACTTCACAGGCCTACACGTAGAATGTAGGCTACTTTGAGATAGCCTAAAAGTGGTTTTCCACGTGAACTTTTGTTCATGGAAGATTGTACTTAGCACTTTCCTTCCATTCCATCTGATTACCACCCTTTTCTGAGCTTATCTACAGGTGTGGTGTGAGAGAGCCTGAGAGTTCAGAGATGAAACCTGGACTCTGTTTCTGAGGTTTGAATTGCATTCAGTAACTACTCACTGTAGAGGCGTACTCTGTGTGTTTAGGGGGGTAAATGTGTTATGGTATTTGATCAGTACCCACCCTAGCAACTCATGCAGTTAGTGGTAGTTAGAATGAATTCATCACATCAGGGAAGTGACCTGTGGGCTACCTCCTTTCTAGTGTAGCTGATGGCAAATATGGAAATGTTTTGTGCAGTTTTAGAAGTCCAGAAAATCCTCTAAGAATGGCATTGAACACTTTCTTTGCATTGTTACAGTCGCAGTCATATGCTCCCCTTGCTGGTCAAATCACTTCCTCTTTCACAGTTCCTCTTTTGTTTCCTGTTTACAAGTCCTAGTTTTCCTACACAAAGAGAGATGCCTAGTATACTGTGTCTTGGTTTTCATTTTGATAAAGAGGATCTCCCATACACGTAAAATACACATACTGACTCACTCCTAAGTTACAGCCCATTAATCCTCTTCAACTCACTGGCCTTTCTGCTCTATAATATAAATAACCAAAGCAAGTATTTGTGCATTGGAAAATCACATTTGTTTGATTTGCCCATGTTCCTGGGCAGCTGGTTTTCTGTGTGGGCCTTCTGGAGCAAGTGTGAGCCTAAAGCAAGCATTGAAGACTGGTGGTAGAATTTCTGGGAACTTTGCGGGGGGAGGGGGGTGCCAAGTTTGAAAACTGTGGACATTTCCCTACCTGTCCTTAAGAAACAAAAAGATAAGCCATTTCCTTGACTTCTAAGTTCTTGCTCTATATTAAATATAAGATACTTCTAGATATAATTAGGGCTAATTTTGTGATAAAGTTGAAAATGATTATGATAGAACTACATTTTAACAAATTACTCAAAACAAATAGGAAAAGTCAAATGTAGAAAATTTTCACAAGGGATCCTTAATTAAATACCGTGATTTTGCCCTAGTCTCAGTACCGAATTCTTGAGAACCTAAACTTCAGGTGAGTTACATACATGTCTTGGCTGTGCTTTCTGCTTTGCAATGGGCTTTCTGCTCCTCCATTCCCTGCAGATATAATTAACTCCACCCAAGTGTGAGACCCTCTTTTCTGCTTCAGGCCAAGTAGCACAGATACGAGGCATGTTTTCACTCCATGAATTTTTATCAAGCTCAAAGCTGGATTGATGCTATCTACTCATGCCAGTTAATTCTGTAAGAATATCACAGGCAGAGCATGCTGGCAAATGAATGTTTTGAACAGATTTTCAATTATTATAAGTGCTAGTGTTTATCTTGGACTGAACTACGTATTTACTGTCTTCTGTCTGCTATGATGATGAGCAAGCCTGTGGGTCGTTATGTTAGTGGTAAGCACTTACCCTGTATTAATCTTTCTTGTTCATTCAACAGTTACTTTACTGTCATTTATGGGAAACAGCAGTGAGTAAAACTGGCCTGGCCCTGCCCTGAGCTGCCTACACTTGATTGTTCATTCTCTGAAGGTCTTTGTTTGTTTGATTGACTTTTGCATTTGTTTTCTCCTTTTAATTTTAAATTTTTGACAGTTTATAATATATGTATTGAATGCATTTTGATCATACTTGCTCCATTACCCTTTCTTAAGTTTTTATAGTTGCAAGATAGTTTTTATTCTTCACTATAAGGGACTTTATAGTCTGAGAGCTGGCCGATAAGAATTTCCAAGTTATATAGGATTAATGACATTTTAAAGCAATGCTCCAAATACAGTGGTATGCCTCCTTCAAAGTTGTATTCAGTTATATAATCTAGTTCATCTCCTTCTTATTCAGGGTTTTATTAGTGTTACATACATATAAAGTATTATGACTGCTGAGTTTCCTTCTGTGATCTACCCTATTTATTCTCTACGGAAAATGTGTTAAGCACATGGTGACATCTTTCTGAATTGTGAACTAATGGTTTGTTTTGATTAATATAAGTGAGAGTATAGCTTTGGTGACTAATAGCATCCTCTCTTAGCAAAATCTGTTTGACTTTAAAATGAAAAATTATTAATACAGGTAAGTGTCACTCAAACTTCATAACTGTTAACAGAGCAACTCTCAGGTTTCAACATCATAAAAATCAATTTCAGTAAACCCTCTGATGTGTTTGTCCGTTAGTCTTCTTCATGAGCCACTATTTCCTAAGAATAAAACAAAACATGAGAAGATGAAGCTTTGTGCTCACGCATGTAATCTTTCCCCTAACTGCTGCTACTATTGAACACAGAATTGCCTTTGGAGTAGCAGGTAGAGGAGGTGTGTCTGCTTGTGTATCATCTGAAGCTGGGGTGGGAGGTGGTGGGGGTTGTATTCCGAAATGGTTCACTGTAGGGCAGTGTAGCATGGGTATATGTGTTTCCCACCTTCTTTTGCAATTCCTCAGACAAAGGCAAAGAGGAACTCATCACTCCAAATAATGTAACCAGTCTTTGATTTTTTTTGGGGGGGGGGCGTTGGTTTTTGGAGACAGGGTTTCTCTGTATTGCTTTGGAGCCTATCCTGGAACTAGCTCTGTAGACCTGGCTGGCCTGGATCTCACAGAGATCCACCTGCCTCTGCTTCCCTAGGGCTGGGATTAAAGGTGTGTGCCACCTTGCCTGGCCCTGTTTTGTTTTGTTTTGTTTTGTTTTTCGAGGCAGGATTTCTCTATATTGTTTTGGACTCTGTCCTGGAACTAACTCTGTAGGATAAATTATTTTAACTAGAAAAGAAAAACATAAATGTAAGTTTTCTGGTTACAGACTTTTTAGAGCAGTAATAACACTAATTGTTCCCCCTTGGGCCCATAAAAGAGAACACACAGATAAGTTTAGATAACATTTTAGCTAAGAGTACATAAATATAAGCTGTATTTATTTTTTATGTTTACTCTGTCATTCCAAATAATTCTAATCAACTCCTGATTTCCTTTGTTTGGGGAAATAATGAACAGTTTTTTAAAATTATTTGGCAACTAATAAAATGTCAAAGAGGATAAAATTTAGAGAAATTAACCACAATTTAGACATTATATTTTAAGATAAACTAAATGAACATGGTGGCTTTATTTACAGTTTTATTTCTGCATATAAGATGTACAGTGGGATAATTTGTAGACAGTTATATTTGTGGACTATTTGAAATACTTAGCTACTATAGCATTTCTATTATAAAATGCTACTCTACAATTAAGCATAGCTAGAATTTTATAAACATCTTTTAGAAGGCAGCAAAATTTATAACAAAAATACACAAATATATTATTTGCTAGTATAACTTTGGTTTTAGATTCAGTTCTCAAATTAGCAGAAATGCTAATTATTTTAAAAATTAATTGTTTAAAAACTTTCCTTGAAAATTATCTTTTAAATTTTTTTCTTAATTCTTGCTTCCTTTTGAAGATTTTATTTGGCAGTTTTCATAGGAAAAAGATAACACTGATCCTTCCTCTGAACTCTGAAGGTTAATGACAGGATTTATCCACAAGCAAGTTGCCTTGCTCACCTGTCCTATCATAGATCACAGTAGAATATAAATGAAATAGCATTCTGGGGACATAAATCCAATCTTGACCACACAGACACCATTGCACAGTTCAGTAGCAGTAGTGATGCATGCAGCCATCTTAGATCATTGGCCACAGGGACAAGACAAAGACGAAAGTACTCTATAAAGTATTTGTATTCAAATAATAGTACATAAAATGACCTTTTATGTTCATAATTACCCACCAAATACTCAATGTGTGTCCTGGGCAAGTAAGTATTGACAAGACTAATTTTGCAATTTTGATGTTCTTCCAGTTATGCATGTCCTATGCTTTATAAAAATGGGGCTTTTGCTTGAACTTTTAAAGATATATTTGTCTAGTATAATACTCGTTTCTTGTATACTCTTAGTAATTTTGTAATGATGCTTGAATGTCCTCTATTAAATAATTTCTTTGTATATCATCTTTACATTTCATCAAATTCTGAAAGTGTGTGAATTTTATTTTAAGAAATATTAATAGATTTTATACAAATTAGCCTAACCTATCGTTGACATATCCTTTTGTTACTGATTTTTTAAGTATTTGATTTTTATTATATCTTTCAAGTTCTTCTAATTAATACTTCCAAGTACTTAATTAAAAATAATCACAGCTTACTAATCACTATTTGCCTTATATTCTTTGTAATAATTATAGGTCTTTTTTTTTTTTTACTTTATGCCATTGTTATTCTTGCGTTTTCTTTCATTCATAAATATTAACACAGTTTGTATGTATGTTGTCAGTCTGCTAAAGACCTTGCTACTAACAGGCAAGTATCTTTACTAACAGGTATCTTTAAGATACCATAAGGTTTTTCAACAATGGTTTTATGCAACAAATAATCCTTTTCCCTGATACCTGCCTCTTGCAGCAAACCTATATTTAACTTCCCTCGTGTGTACCTGGGATCCGAACAGCAGAGTTGTTTCTACATTCCAGCCACCCTTACACCATTCTTTAGTTTAAACTGGCAGTTCTGCAAGTAGCAGAAGTGTGATTCTAAGAAGGCCCAGTTACAAGCGTGGGCAGCGTGGGTGGCAGTGCTAAGATCAGGTTTCCAGAGGCTCTTTCCCAGAGGAAGCTGACTTTGTGTCTTCCATTATATTAAGCTTAATGAATCATCACCAATTTTGTTTTGTCAGTAACTGTAATAGCCATTTCTCTTGGTTAGTTTTCTTTTTTATTAACAAGTGGGGAATCATTCAGCATCAGAAATTGTCACTGTTTCTAGGTAATGCTATTTTTCTTTTTATTTGTGCATTTATTTGGTCATGTAAAAAATATGCTTACAACTAATCAAAATGAGCAGTTGCTGGGAATTAATGCACGACTCATCAGCAGAGTGAATGTAGCATGCGCTATGAGATTGCAGTTTGTTCATGCTTTATTTTCTGTCATTTACACTCTAGTTTCATTTATACTATAATCCATTCTGGTTTTACTTCTTCATAGATTGGCCAAAATGGGAAAGGCTGGATTCTGCTCTCTTCTACGAAGAGTTAATGGAACTGGCTAAGATCAAGGTCTGAGGCTTTTTCCATCCTTAATCAGGTATGCATTAATCAAAAATCACTAGTTCTATGCATGTGCCTTTAACGTATTTGGTTAATAAACATATTATGAATATAATCTTTATTTGATATTAAATTTACAACTTTATATTTATCCTAAAATTTTAAATGTACCAATGACAATTAATTTGAATTTTGTAATGGATTACATATAATATGATATAATATCATTATCAGCCATGAAAAATTTCAGCTGGTCTTAGTAAAGTGTAATATTTGGTATTAGTGCAATTCCTCATTGCTCAGTATGTACATCCAGAAACATCCATTTGTTACTTCATATTGAGTATCACCAGTGTAATCTGATCAAATACTTGTGTGTTGCTTCATGGTACCCTTGATGTTTTGGCAGGGAAAGTTACATTAAAGTTGCTTTTCTCTTCTGGAATTCTCAGCATTACAGCAGTGCTGTTACAGTGGTGATTATGGTCAGTTTTATGACCTAGTTGTGTAGACACCTTGCATTCCCTTTAGATTCTGCAGTTGGAAAATGATTGACGTGTTCATAGTCTGAGTAGGTCTATGAAAACATCATGTGAGGAAATCACAATGAAAATTAAAGCTTTATTCTAACTTACTGTCATTACTGGCCTGCAGAATAGCTATTTACCTCTAACATGGGGGGGGGGGGGAGGCAAAGCATCTGTCCATTGAATGAACTCACAACAGGAAAGGAGCAAGTCTTTGAGCTTCAGAAAATCCAGTCATAACTAACAGCTGCATCCGTGCTGTGGTACCAGAGCTAACAGCTTCACCTGTGCTGTGATGTCAGAGCTAACAGCTGCATCTGTGCTGTGATGTCAGCGCTAACAGCTGCATCTGTGCTGTGATGTCAGCGCTAACAGCTGCATCCGTGCTGTGATGTCAGCGCTAACAGCTGCATCCGTGCTGTGATGTCAGCGCTAACAGCTGCATCCGTGCTGTGATGTCAGCGCTAACAGCTGCATCCGTGCTGTGATGTCAGCGCTAACAGCTGCATCTGTGCTGTGATGTCAGCGCTAACAGCTGCATCTGTGCTGTGATGTCAGCGCTAACAGCTGCATCTGTGCTGTGATGTCAGCGCTAACAGCTGCATCTGTGCTGTGATGTCAGCGCTAACAGCTGCATCTGTGCTGTGATGTCAGCGCTAACAGCTGCATCTGTGCTGTGATGTCAGCGCTAACAGCTGCATCTGTGCTGTGATGTCAGCGCTAACAGCTGCATCAGTGTTGTGATGTCATTGCTAACAGCTGCATCAGTGTTGTGATGTCAGTGCTGTGATACTGGTTGCATCATTTGTAAACTGCAAGAGGAACTTCCTGATACTTAAAGCAATGCAAAGGCCTGCATCTGTCTTACAAACAAGAAACTATGTACTCAGCTTACCTGAATGCTGTATTGCCTTAATCAAAATAATAGCTCACTGCTGTTTAGCACAGGGACAGCCTCTGTGCTCAAGTACAAAAAGATGTGGCATACACTTAAGTGCTACCAAAACGTAGATGTTTAGAATTCCTGAAAAAAACATCTAACTGGAATCTGTGAAAGTGAGTATATATACCACACCAAATTTTGTAAAGAGGCATGTGTCACACTCTACTACCAAAACACAGATGAAATAAGGAAGTCGTTTCCTTTCTTTAAAATGGCACATTCACTTAACTGTAGTTAATAATTGATTCTTTTAAAAGATATTACAGGCACTATTGTTTTTTGCGGTCTCTTGGAAGAACCCCCTCTACCTTAAGAAATCTTGAGGCAACATTTAACTCAGTGGTTCTCAACTGTGGCTTGCGACCCCACAGGTGTCCCATATCTGGTGTTTACATTATGATTCACAACAGTAGCAAAATTATAAAGTAGCAACAAGATGAGTTTATGGTTGGGGTCACCACACCATGAGGAACTGTTTTAAAGGGTCGCAGCATTAGGAAGGCTGAGAACCCCACTGATTTACCGTACACGGAGCAGCAGTAAAGTCGTTGAAGGGTTGGTCTTCCTACTCTGAGAAATAGAGTTAACTACATGAACTATTTCTTCTCTGTGGAGGTGTCTATCTAGTTTTAATTGCTTCATTTGAAATTGACGACAGACTCTTTGTTGCACACATATGTTTCATTCTTTCTCACCACTGACCATGAGTTGAAACTCAGGGTGCAACACCTCTGTGATGATGCATTCGTGTACAGATGTTGTGCACTGAGACCTCTCAGCAGGTGTGCCACACTAGGGTTCAGTTGTGTCAAAGGCTGATTCCTTCAGCTCTTGGGAGGCCTAATGGTTCTGGCTTACTGTTAACATTAGTGCCCCAAGTAAGGCTAATCTCTATGATATAGAGACAGTCTAGGGAAACTAACCATACTTCCCCAAAAAATAAGGATCTGCAGTTTTCACCCAGGTCATAGCAAAAGGCTTTACTATTTCAAGGATGTTTGTATGAAGATAAATCATTTCTACCGTTGATGCAGACACTCTAAGAGTATTCTCTCCCTCCTCCCCCTCCTCTTCCTCCTCCTCCTCTTCTTTTTATTTTACATATCAATTCCAGTTCCCTCTTCCTCCCTCCCTCCCTCCTTCTCTACCCACCCCTCTCTCCCATTCCCCCCAACCACCACCTCTGATTCTAACACTGGTTTAAGGGTCAGTTTTCACTCAGGGTGGTGCTTTCAACTCTTCCCTATAGTATTTGGGTTTCATGTGCTTCGTCCATGGACTTAGTGGTTTGCAAAGTGCCAAGTGCTCTAAGTGCTTGTGTTTTCTTGTGACCCTTGTGCATAGAGTGATGTGTACAGAGTACATTGCCGTTGGGCTGTAGATGTGTTTTCTAATCCTTTCTGAAAACTGAAGTTTCTGGTGCCACCTTTAGAATCTGCTCTGAGAGTTCCTGAGTTCACTACTGGTCGGCCAGCATTTGTTAGGTGCAATTTCAGGGTATGTATGAACTGTTCATTCTGAGCAATGCATTTGTATGTATCTGTTTTGGAAAATACAAAGAAACCTACAGATATTACATTGGACCAGCTGAATCCATTTTATGGTTTCTTTTTTAATTCAAAAGCATCACAAAGCAAATAAATTTTTAATTGAGTTGAGTTACAAACTAGTTGTTTCTTATTTTTTTTTCCAGTCCCTTTTTGCTTTCTTTTACGACCACATGAAACTTGAGAAGCCACCTAAAGCTATATCACTTAGTGGAGTTGGGCAGTTCCCAGGTGTCCAACAAGAAGGCCTGGTTTAGGCTGCGATGGCCACTGTCATTCCTGGTGATTTGTCAGAAGTAAGAGATACCCAGAAAGCCCCTTCAGGGAAACGTAAGCGTGGTGAAACCAAACCAAGAAAAAACTTCCCTTGCCAACTGTGTGACAAGGCCTTTAACAGTGTTGAGAAATTAAAGGTTCACTCCTACTCTCACACAGGAGAGAGGCCCTACGAGTGCACGCAACAAGACTGCACCAAGGCCTTTGTTTCTAAGTACAAATTACAAAGGTACTACACTCTATTTGTCTTTCAGATTATACTTTCTCTTGTGTTGGCCATCTGAAGCCATTGTAAGTGTGTGTATCTGTATACACATTGCTCAGCTGATTTGCAGACAGAAAATGTTAAGTAGATTAGACATTGGCTAGCTTGAAGTACTCGAAATCACAGACGTCTGTGTTAGTGTCTGGATTTTTTTTTTTTTTTTTTTTAAGTAAAATGCTTAATGAGAATAGGATTTCCGTTTGTAAAGAGAAATTTCTACATGAAAAGGGCGTGGACATTACATGAATGTGTTCAGTCTTGCTTGTTTACTTCTGTAGTGCGAGCTAAAAACCAGTCAACACTGAAGTGGCAACTTAGACGGCTCAAGTTTTGCAGGGTGTTAACTATGCTGTGGTGTGTGTTAGTTAGGTAGACCCGTTATTAAGAGAGCCGTGTGTTAGTGTTGTTAGTTTAGCTTCCCATTTGAAAAGTAAATATGTACCTTTCTGCTAAGATACTCACTCACAGAATATATCTATGTTCAAAGGCACATGGCTACTCACTCTCCTGAGAAAACCCACAAGTGTAATTATTGTGAGAAAATGTTTCACCGGAAAGACCATTTGAAGAATCACCTGCATACACACGACCCCAACAAAGAGACCTTTAAATGCGAAGAGTGTGGCAAGGGTTACAACACCAAGCTTGGCTTCAAGCGACATCTGGCCTTGCATGCTGCAACCAGTGGTGACCTCACCTGCAAGGTGTGTCTGCAGACCTTTGAGAGCACAGGTGTGCTCCTGGAGCACCTGAAATCTCATGCGGGCAAGTCTTCCGGGGGTGTGAAGGAGAAGAAGCACCAGTGTGAGCACTGTGAGCGCAGGTTCTACACCCGGAAGGACGTCCGGAGACACATGGTGGTGCACACGGGAAGAAAGGACTTCCTCTGTCAGTACTGTGCACAGAGATTTGGACGAAAGGATCACCTCACTCGACATATGAAGAAGAGTCACAATCAAGAGCTTCTGAAGGTCAAAACTGAACCAGTAGATTTCCTGGACCCATTTACCTGTAACATGTCTGTGCCTATAAAGGACGAACTCCTACCGGTGATGTCCTTACCTTCCAGTGAACTCTTGTCAAAGCCATTCACAAACACGTTGCAGTTAAACCTCTACAACACTCCATTTCAGTCCATGCAGAGCTCTGGGTCTGCTCACCAAATGATCACAACTTTACCTTTGGGAATGACATGCCCCATAGATATGGATGCGGTCCACCCCTCTCACCATCTTGCTTTCAAATGCCCATTCAGTTCTACCTCATATGCAATCTCTATTCCTGAAAAAGAACAGCCATTAAAGGGGGAAATTGAGAGTTATCTGATGGAATTACAAGGTGGTGCCCCCTCTTCCTCCCAGGATTCTCAAGCATCATCGTCTAAGTTAGGGTTAGAGCCTCAGAGTGGGTCCCTAGATGATGGTGCGGGTGACCTCTCCCTGTCAAAGAGCTCTATTTCTATCAGTGACCCCCTCAACACACCAGCATTGGATTTCTCTCAGTTGTTCAATTTCATACCATTAAATGGTCCTCCTTATAATCCCCTTTCCGTGGGGAGCCTTGGGATGAGCTATTCCCAAGATGAAGCACATTCTTCTGTTTCTCAGCTGCCCACACAAACCCAGGATCTCCAGGATCCTGCCAACACTGTGGGTCTCGGTTCTCTGCACTCACTCTCAGCGGCTTTCACCAGCAGCCTGAGCACAAGTACCACCCTACCCCGTTTCCACCAGGCATTTCAGTAGGCTCTGGGCCACCGGTTTGCTAGGGAGGTGCGTGTGTAGCCCCGCCTTCCATGACCATTCTTATCTTAGTGCCTACTTTAAGACAATACAAAAACTTATGCTTTTGTATAATACCAGGTTTCATGGAGCCAGTAAATAATAGGAACGCTTTGAAACCATTCATTTTTATTTACATTTGCTGTTTCTCCTGATTTACTGCCAGTTGTCATAGTCTCAGAGATTTCTTTCATATAGGAGCGCCATTATTATCACTAAATTCTGCAAGTCCTGTGTTCAGATTACTATTAGACCTTAAAATTTTCATTTTTTGTCTAATAGCAATGAACTGTGGACATTTGGCTCATTTTTTTTTCAAATATGCAGTACAATGTAAATCTTATGAACTGTGTGTGAATAACTGAAGTGTTTTACATTTTTTTTACTAGCCACTAAATGGATTCATAATCAAGTGTTTTAAATTAATTAAGAATCCAGTTTGGGGAGATTATAGTGGTTTCTTAAATATATCATCATTTCAGATCAATATATTGAGAAGACTGCTATTGTCTAACTAAAGCATTATGAGCATATGATAAAAAGAGAGAGAGAGCTTCAGTATCTGTATCTAGAAGAAACCTAGAGTGGTCACAGGGCGTGCTGTGTTAGCACTGACCCTTAGGTTGTTTGGCCACATTTCGACCATCTTTACTTTATGGTAACAGTGTGTGGTATCAGTCTTCAGGATCAGTGTAGAAATGTTCTGTTTTACATCCTTTACCTTTTGTACCCAGTGTGGCTTCAGTATATCAGCTTCTTATGTTGCATGTTGGCCCATAGCTAGTCCAGAGTCTTAGAGCCACTGTGGGGCAGTAGTAAATAAGTGGGATCCAGAGTAGGCTGCCTCAGTTGTTGGGGTGATAGACTCCTCAACACGAAGATGGATATAAAACATACAGCCAAGCCTCAGAACTTGTCTAGAGAATTTCCACTGTTGCCAGAACTGAAAACTGGACTCTTTGGGGACAGCCTAAAAGCCTGTCCCACCACTTCTAAAACAGCCCCTGTGCTCTCTTGCTCAGTGCCCATCCATCTTTCCCTGCTGTGTTTGGATGGAGAACTTACACATATTACAAAAGCTACTTGAGGAGTTTCCACAAAGTTTTACACAACCCTAAACAGTCAAACTCCCCTTTGCATCTTAGGAAATGGGAGGAATGGGAGTTGAATTTATAGAGGAAACAGAGGAAAATAAAGCAAACACCAAATGAGTTTGGAAGCACCGAGGACTCGGTGCTCACTGACAGTAGTGATGGTCTTCCTCACGCCAGCCAGGGCTCTGGTCAAAGGTTCCATGTAGATTTTCCTAAGGATTGCTTGTGGCATCAACCTACAAGATGGATCTGTTAAGCACTTGTTTCGGGTCCCCTTCTGTTGGGGCAGGGGTAGGGGAAAATTTACAGAAGAGTATATATCTCTCAAAAAAAAAAAAAAAAAAAAGAAAGAAAGAAAGAAAGAAGAAAATATTTCTGAATTTCTGAGCACTCATTAGCCCTGTATGGGGACATTCGTTCCCTTTTGGAGGGCCAACTATCATTGCAGATTCGTTGTTTACCAATAATTCTAAACATGAGGATAGATTACTGAATATTATGCATTATTTAAAATAACTGGGAGTAGTATAAATTGAGGATAAGTATAAAATGCCATGTGAATGGGGCTTTTGCTACATATTACACACATGTCTAGCGCACTTCGTAGAATCAGAGTTACTCTCTGGAGGGCTCTGGCTCCTGGTTTTAACCCTGGAGCAATAGTTTTTATACTTATGTATTTAAATTTTTATTATGAAAAGTTACATTTTATTAAAAAGAAAGTGTTCCAAAGGCATTAAAATGATATATGTTAATAAGGAATACATGTCTAACTCTTCGAGCTGCTCCTGAGCTGTGGTTGGGAGCACATCACTCTTCACTCTGCTTAAGACTGCTTCCTTAGTTTCTATGAAACAGATTGCTTACCTAAAGCTCTAGTTGAATGATTAGTGTTCAATATTGCTTTAATCACCATTTAGAAAGGAAAAGAAACTTGGTGACAGAGCACAAGTAAATAGAAAACCTATTTTTATGTAGAGGTTGGTCACAAATACCACATATGAAAGCACTAGTTTATCCTATCTGAAATTTGCTAAGAAGTCACATTAAATGACCTGAGACATTAGCCTTCATAGGCTGTATTTCACTGCTAATTGAAAAAAAAAAAAAAAAGGGAGTACCAGGATATATGAAATAAAGAATTTTGAAATGGGAATGGCGCCATATATGTATATATATAAATATATTTTTATCCTAATTCTTGCCCTGCACAGAACTCTAATACACATCTTCCAGGGTACCAGTGTTAAAACGTAGAGTCTTAATTTTCTTCATATGTACACCTCTTCGCCTATTGCTGCCCCCACAGACTTGAATAACACTTCAAAGTAAGAGGGAATTCAGCAAGTTGGGTTGGGTTTTTTGTTTGTTTGTTTGTTTTGTTTTGTTTTGTTTTTTAATTGACTGCAGTGGTCACTAAACCCTTTCTTGATAGATTTTCTATTAAAGATCAGGCAGCTTTGAATTGAATTGCACAATATTTTAACAAGGATGTAACACAGAATTGGCTTTCTCCCCCTAGAAAATATTGTCACTTGTTTTTATTTGACGTAGGAATGATTAGGAGTAGTTCTTGCCAATGCTGTTTTCATCCACCAGTGGCCAGAGTCATCATCATCCTTGGAATTTCTGATAGTGCCTTAGATTGGCTGAAAGAAAAGGGATTAACATTAACTAAAACAGTGTAGTGTAAAATTTGGACCTCAGACAAGATACCAGGTCTCGTTCAATTTGACTTCCACATGTGTGAGCAGACTATATTAGCAGCTGCAGGAGCATGACTGTGGAAGGACCGAGGCACTGTAAGCAGTATCATCCATTGATATTTACCAATACCACCTTTGTAGTTATTGGTCACTGCTAAGCTTTCATTGAAAATCCTATTAACCTAGTTCAGTTTTCTACAAGTTAAGTTGTCTAGGTGGATCTGGTGGTTCATGCACCAATCTGAATGCCACTTCTTCATTTCAGTCGGCGTTTCTTTCCAGCTGTGTGTTTTTGCCTATTTGTTGCTTGTGCTTTATTTTCCTAGTCCTTTGTGGAATATAGTGATATATTGTGTTAATTTGGACAGTGACGGTTTTTTAAAACCATATACTGACTGAAACATGAGCCAGAGCTGATTGCTTTATTAATGAATGTTATAGAGTACGTATTTCAGGATCTTTCATCTAGTGAGCAGTACACACATAGGCCAATTCAAAAAATAGAGCTTGCTCAACCTCTATACTTCACGTACTACAAGATATAGCACTTTCAAAATGAACCTAAACTTCTACAGAAACTTTCTTATAGGTTATGCCTTTTATTTTAAGACTTATTGTATTCGTTTCAAGTGCCATTAGGTGATATATATATGTAGGCCTTTGATATATAATGCTTTGTGTACAAAAAAAAAATGGTAGATGGTATTTTAAACAGGTACATTTTTACAGTGTTTTCTTATCGATTTGCTATATTGCACAGAATCAGTGTGTGTCTTTTCATATGGTTTTACAATGGTTTATTTTTTTACAAGGTTTACGTATCTCAAAGCACACTGTCTTCCCAGTCTGTAAGTAAGTTAAAAAAGATACCAGTTCACCCAAGTTACTTCTAGCCTACTGAGATCCATGTGACATTGGAGGAAATCTTTTCATTGTTGATATTAGTCCTTAGTGAAGGCAGACTGGTTTTTCTGACTCATAATCCCTCGGTGAGTCTGTCTTGTTTTATTCACGCTGTCAGCAGCCAGGTCTATAACACCTTATATCCTGATTCTGTAGGTCTACATAAATGCCTAAGTTGTATTGTACTTGCAGAGTGCTCCTTTGAAATTATATGCAAGATAATTCTACCAGCCTTAGTAACAGCACCCAGATCACCAGTATGCCTTTCTCCAATGTTAGCAGCCCCTGGAGATGGAAGGCAGTATCTTTTGATAGGTCATCTAGCTCTGCAGATGATACAGAATTATTGCTGATGTATAAGACACTCCTTTGTTTAACCTTCAGTGGTACAGACGAACCAGAATGAATGTCTATCTTCTCAGAAACCCTCCTTCAACATGATATGGGATCATGCTGCTACTGTCACTTGGGATACAATTCTTCATGGTGCTACAAACTTCTGTCTCATTCAGTTGTATTTTTTTTTTATCCATAGGAAAAGGACTACATAGGTGTAAAGGTGTACAATATATTTTTATACTGTGACTTAATCTGTCATTAACAAACTTTTACACCACCACAATGTATTCTTGTACGCTTGCAAAAGGAGATCTTGGATGTGCAAATTTTACCAGAACAAACCCAGCTTTTGTCCACAAGGTGACTGTAACTGAGAATGGAAAATGGGCTTGATGTAGGGTGTGGCGTGAAGAACATGCTGTAGGTTACTAACAGCCCTTTGATTTTAACAAAAACTGGGAATCCATTAGAAAATGGATTGCATCATGCCTGAACATAAGCTGACTGCTGAAATTGTATTTTTAGCTAATGAAAAAGTGTTTGGACTAGTATTCTAAACATGTCCTAATGGTAAAGTTTTGAGTCAAATAGAAATGGGGGAAAAAATCTGCATTCCAGACTGAATTTTGTATATTTTTATTGCATTTTAAATTGCTATTCTGTGATATTGGAAAATCAAGTGGCTTATCATGTATATCATGTACTTAAAATGTATTCACAAACTACTGTTGTATTTGTATAAAATATAGACAAAGGTCATCTTTGTGTGTGTGTGTGCCTTCTGTAAAGCAGCATCACATCTTGAGGCTGCAGTGATACTGTACTTTAGAAACTTAACATCTGAGAAGCACACTGCTTCTTGTAGGGATACCCACACCTACATCCTCACTCACTGCTAGCTATCACTGCAGCTTCTTATGGCCTGCAATGGTACCTGTAGTAAGGAAAAAGGGTTATGAATTCCCTAGAATATATGAAGAGAACTACAGGCTACTTTAGATCATACAGATCCTCCCCAATCCTCGCAGATGGTACTTTGCTGTAACATGTTTTCTTCTGCTGATTTTAGAAAATAGTAATTCTTTGAGAATTTATACACATATATAATTATTTTGATCATATTTACCCTTCACTTTTCCCAGAATCATTCCCCCCTCCCAACTTTATGTCCTTTTGTTTTTTTTAATAACCCCTGACATCCATTTTGTATGATCCATATAATTAACTCATGGATGGAGGAACATGGGCCACCTACAACTGCTGAGTGTCTTTTGATTTGCTATTATAAGGCTGGAGCTGCAGCCTCCAGAAGGTCATTTGTATTATGAATGAAATTGCAGGTTGCAGGAGATGTGAGACTTTCGAGCTTTGGGAGAGTCTGGAACGATGGCTCAGCTGTCAAGATTACTTTTTCTTGCAGAGGTTCAGGCTCCATTCCCAGCACTCACACACTGGCTCACAATTGTCTATAACTCCAGTTTCAGGGGATCCAGTGCCCTCTTTGGCCCTCCACAGGAACCAGGAACACATGTGGTGCACAGACACACATGTGAGCAAAACATTCATACCCGTAAAATATTTCTAAAAGACTTTTGAGCCTTTAGAGGAAAGGCTGAGGGTGAATTATTTTTAAAGTCAAAACTTGTAGGGCTGGGGAGGTGGCTCAGGCAGTGAAGTGCCTGCTAGACAAACTTGAGAACCTGATTTCAATCCCAGAAGACAAGCAGAGGCAAGAGACTACCT